CAAAAAAGTCACTTTTCGCCAAAATTGAGATAAATTCATAGAAAAATAGCCGTCAATCTGTTCTTTCATAAATGACGAAAAATTTTACTTGACATCCCTTCTTTTTCGTAAAATGTGGAGAATTTTTGTCATTCCCTAGTCGAAAAACAAGCTGTTTTTATAAAAAAAAACCGAAAATCATTGTTCGTTTTGCTCAGAACGTGCGTTCAACAACGTATCTTCAATAGAGTTCTATCATAGTAAGAGATAAAGTCAAATATATTATTTTTGCTTGAAAGTTTGTGTTCAGAGCTAGAAATTGTCGTGAGGATTTTTGTTTAAATAAGTTTTTTTATTATCCTAAAAGATAACACTTCTATCGAAATAGCGCAATTTTTCGAGTCATTAAATTTTCGCTCTGTTTTTTTCCCGTAAAAAGTAAGACTTAAAAAAAAGGCCATGAAAGTCGTTGCATTCTGACATGCTCTTTCAAACAAAATAAAGAAATTTAATGTCTAAAATAAAGACTCACAGAGAAAACTTGGAGATACTATAAAGCTATTTTTCGGTGCATATCTCTGTTAAACATCGTGCTACAGGGTTGAAAATTTGACTGTAGTCATGGCTCATCAGACCCAACATATCTTGAAAGTTTCATACAATCTGGATATTCTTGGATTGAGATCGATTTTTGAGGGGCGAGGAAGGCCTTAATCTTAATGTTTAATTCAGTTAAGTTCTTTATGGCTATTACAATCTAATAATTAGTTAGTAACAGTACACATATAATGTATATTCTAAACGAGCAAAGAAAATTCAGTAAAATTTTTACCCGCTTTCTTCAATAAAACATTAGTAATATCTGTAAATGATGTATGTTATTAAAAAATTTGAGGTAAACACAAAAAACAAAAAAAAAATTGATAAGATTTTCAACAAACTCTACCTGTAACACTGCCTGTTTCAAATCGAGTTGAATTAACAACAATTTGAGAATCTGATGATCCACTAACACCAATTCGTCGACATGGTTTACATGATGCTATAGGTCGACATTTTTCATGACAAACATTTGAACAATCACGACATTGAACTGCTCGTATGCCTTATATTCATAGAAAAGTTATCTGTTTCTTTTAGAACATCAAAAAATATATATATGATTACGAACCATTTGGGAATTTTTTTGAATCAATTAATTCATCACAAGCATGACATATTTGTGCTGTTGTAAATTGTTTGAATTCATATGCATGATAACCATACATCGATAATGTACGTGATGATGATAATGATCGTTGAGGTTGAAGATAGTTTTTATTAGAATTCATTCGTTTATATCCTTCATGTTGCATTGATAGACGATATAGAATTAATGTTTTTTTTTTAGTTATGTTTAAGATCCTCTTCTATTAGATATTCAAACATCTATTTGTTAGTAAATACGGTAAGATTATAGAGACTACTTGTAAAATCAATAAGAACTAGTATAAATTATATTTGTTAATTTAAAAAAGAAAAGAAGAAGAAATTTTTATATTAGATTGTAACAATAATTAACTCTACTAGAACATTCAGTAATAGACGAAACTCTTCGTTTCAATCACTATGTGTGTTGGAGTGGCTCTGAATAGTTGTGTACATCAAGAATGTAAGTTGAGAAACTGTTATTACTTAATTACAAAGAGAATTATGATAAAAAATGCTTAATCTTTTTTTTTTGAGTATTATAATATAAACAATAAAACTTTACGATTTTTATTATTAAAAATATAAAAAATGCTCGATATTTTCAATGTTTGATTGAAATCTCATCTAGTCATTCGTCAACTAAAAGTTAAGTTAATTTGCTCAATTATTGATACCTTTTATGTGCAAAATTCGCTTCTGAAATTTGTAAATAATTTATATCAAATTATAGAAGAAAATTCTCAAAAACTTTCGATTGTGATTGAGAAGGGAATGTTTCTAAATATCACACCACTCTATATTCGATCGATAGGGTTTAGGAAATATGTAAATACTCTCAAGTTGTTTATATTGTAGAATCTTTATATCGAATTTCTACCTAAATTTTCGAGTCAAAAATTCCTGATATATCAGTAATAAATATCTAACAGCACGAATCACTCGATAATATTTATCTATTCACTAAGATCTATCAACTGAACATAGTTACAACTTAAAAGCAAAGTGACACTTGACAACGTACTCTCATCATTCATAGGCTTCCGATAAGCACTAGATAGGGTTTTTTTTCATAATAATAATAATCATAGTCTTTGAAAAAAATAGATAAATTTAAATAAAATTAACATAGGATTATACATTAAGAATTCGATAAGCAAAGAATACTTTTCCTTTCGACAGTTATTACATTCTTGATGACGTTATATATTGAAAACTTTTCAACATCTCTATTATATAGTGTCCGAGATCGGCTAGTACAGAGATTCTTGTCTACTATTGTATATATGAAATTCATTCTATCAAGTTTTTATCCATACGTGTTAACTAGATTGAAAAAGAAACTAATATTCGGTTCTTACTGTCAGCTTTATTTCTTTTTTTCTTTTGATGTTGAAACCTGGAAGCTACAGCTATTATAAAAAAAAAAACAAAGACAATTTATAAAACTAAATCAACCAAAACAAAACAGGTAATCATTTTTAAAATATATTATTGATTTTTCAAAAACTAACGAGTAGAAATTTTCGAAAATTATTTAGACAGAGAAAAAATTGATTTTAAATCATTTCGAACTCTATATAACATTATTAAAATATTCGAAATTTCAAAAAAAATCTTAAAATAAAAAAAATCTATGACATATATCTGTACTTTTTCTCGTTCAGGTTTTTCAATTTAATCCCAATAAGATTTCCATGATTCAGTATTTCTATATTGTAATGTATTAGCCATTTCCTAGCATATATATATATATATATATATTTCAATAGTTAGTTATTATTAAAACAAACAAAAAAAAATATCTTTCCTTACAGAAACAATATCATTAAAAAAATCTGTTAAACAAATACTAATATCATCATAAATAGTTTATATACATATTGTACGTTGTTTTAATTCGATATCATTTAAATGTTCATCATGTTCAGCTAAAACTATATCAAGATCATATGGACAACCTGTTTATAATGTTTCAATTAAATAAAAATCCCATATATCAAGTGAATACATTTTATATGATGGACGAAGAGCACAACTATCATTTGATGATGAATAAAGAAAATTATAAAATCTAGCTGATTCTCGATTAACTTTTGTTATATAATCCCATTTATTGATTGTATTACAATGATATAACCCTTTAAATGAAAATATATGTTTTGCTTTGTGTTTTTTTGTTTTCTTTTATGAAAATAAATTTACCAGTAATATCATCTGTTAATCAATCTCGAGTTGTATCAACATACCAGTTACGATCTTTTTTACGTTCACAACCACAATCAAGCATTAAATTTTTAAAACGATTTGATAAATGATGATAGGCAAGAAAACGAAGATAATATTGATTAAATTCAAATTCAGCTGGATATTGATTCCAAATCTTAAAAAAGAAAATTGAAATTTAATATAATTATTATAATAAATAATTTACTTGATGAACAAGATCAAGAAATTGAAGAAAAACAGGTGCAAAACAAGTTTTATTTGTTGCTATTTGATTTGAACGATGTGAAAATCTATGTCCAAATGCAAACGATTCACGTTCAATTAATGTTTGAAAACCTTCAAATGTTCGATAATATGGATCAAGTAATAATTCACTTATTGAAACAAGTTGTGCAGTTGTATCCCAACCATCTTCAACACATATCATTACCGATGATGCATAATCGTCAATAAATTGAACGATATATACACAAACCATTAAAATTTATTGTAACTATAAATAAGGGAAAAAAACAAAATTGTTTTTTTTTTGTTGTTGTTGTTCAAGACTAAAATTTAGTTTTACTTGATAAAGCCATCGGGATTCTTCAATTAATTTATAAAATGATACTGAATGTGGTAATGTAACTTATGTTATATCATTTCCATTAGTATGTGCATAATTATTTGATATTTGTGCTGACATACTTGGAACACAAGCACGTGTCAGTTTTTTAAAACTTGCTTTTATTTGACTAACATCATGAAATTCAAGTGGAAGAAAACAATAATTTTGAATTTGTTCAAGACGACCAGTCTAAAAAAAACAATGAACATAGAAATTTAAAATAATATCTATCGAATAATAAAAGTTGTGTTTTTTTTTTCATAAGCAAATCCATAACCATGTTAGAAATTCAACACACACATACACAAATAAAAATAAAAAGAAGAAGCCTAATTCCACGTAAATAATCTTATACATACAAAAAAAATTACCCTATCCAAATGAAAACGATAATCATTAATCATTTTATCGTTGTAACTTCTTTGATACATGTTATTTTGTTTGTTCTATAGGTGGTTGTCTATGAAGGAACAAACGAATTTCTTATGTTAACTGAATAAACATCAATGAAAAACAAAAATTCAGAGACTACTATCCATTTCAAAATAATAGGCGGATGAATATTTTTTTTGAATAACTTTTATTATAACCACTGTATATTACAGAGCAATTTGATCTAGTTTTATCAAGGACTTAAATCGACGTTATCGAAAACCAACGACTAAGGTCAATTTTCAATAATCAGCTACGCATTCGAAACGCTAAATGAAGATCTTTAAAACTACGTAAGGCCCACACTTTCGTTTAGGATTTATAGGCATTTTATGTAAAACTCTTAGCTGATTTTTTCTATCAATTTCTGTAAAAAAAAAAATCACTTTTTTGCGTTTTTCTTATTTTTAGAGAACCCTATAATAGACTATTCGGTGCGTCTTTATCTTCACGTTTCAACGGTGAAAACCGCAGCTTTCTACAGCGGCTTAGGTAATAGTAGTAAATATGGACTTGTTTCTGCTATAGAATTATGTGCGTAATAGAAATATGAACAAAAGAATTTGAGACATTACAGGACGTTGAACGATAGTCGATTGAAATAGCGCAAGGTGTTTTAAAATTAAGATGAATACGATATTCAACTTTTTCAATTCTTTCGAAATAATTGAAATATAGATTATTACATATCTGTATAGAAGTCAATTTTTTTATTTACTAAAAATTATTGATATGCAAAACAACTTAGAAAGTTTGTTGTGCAGAGTTTATTTACACATAATATTTTAATTGAAAAAATTCTTTTCTTTTAATTATCCTATAGAGTGTAAAGAAATTCTGTGCTTCGATTAATCAATTCTAATTGATTAAAAACTTACGCGATGTTGTGCACGATCAGCAATAATATAAAGTGGTGAACGTTTATGAAATTGTAAAATAGATTCATTAAAATCAATATCAAAATTTGTTGATCCATTACCACTACCTCCACTTGTTGTTATTGATGATGATGTTGGTGCAAGGGGGAAACTACTGATTGAACTCAGATGAAACTCAAAATAAATCACCAAACTCAACTGAACTCATTTTAAATCAGATAAATCATCCAAATTCAGCTGAAACTCAAAAATAAATCATTTTAAATGAGTGGTTTGTTTTTGAAAAAGAATTATTTTATTCTCAAGATACAATCAAACTTGAGATTTTTATTCAATTACTATTTAAGATTTTGCGAATTTATTCAACTGGGGTAAAAGAAGGCATTCTATTATACAGTTGTTGAATATTATTTTTGCATCTTAGAATATAAGATATATTTCTTACTGTTAAATTAAGTTAGAAAAAATGCGATTTGATTAAAAGGGACAGATTCTGACGAATAGTTTTTCTTTGGTCTTTTTCCAGATTAAAATGAAACAGAGAGGAAGAAAATACAATCTATGTCCTGCATCTAGCTGAAATAAAATTATCGAAAATAATTTTGTTGTATTTCTCTTTTATTTTTCTTTAGATCGATTATTTTCATCTGAACATCGCTTGACTGTAAATAGGGACGGTGCGAAGAGGCCAGAACAGGAGGGGGTCTTTTTCAAAAATGAGAGAATAGTGTAAATAAACGTAAAAATACCTGGAAGCAGTCGAAATCAGGAAAAAAGACGCAACGTCAAGTTTTCACTGAATTAAGAAAATCACAAACGATTGCCGATTTCCATTGTTTTTATAAAAAAAATTAAACATTTAGGTGATTTTAAAAAGTCGCACAGTAGTACTAGCTCTTTGTTGGGCAGCGAAAACGCTAATGACACAAAATATAGAAGTATGACATGAGTTTCGCTCACGTTACGTGAAAAAAAATAAAGAAAAGGACTGTCTAGTGATGATAGGATATCAATTTTGACGTTTTTCCCTTTCATCGATGAAAGCCAACATTTCCATTGAGAACATTACAACTGTTTAATTTTTAATCAAAGTCAAGATACGTATTATTTCGATGAGAAGATTCCTTCTCATGGATTAAACTGAAAAGCTAGAAATATCGCTTACATGTCATCATTTAAATTACGTTGTTTTAACTTTTCAAGTCATTACACTAGTGTTTGATATTAAACCTGATATCTTAGTTATCAGTTCTGCCTAGTGATAAGAAACCAAGGAGGAAACGACTGATTTAAATCATCCCTAAATCAGTCAATTCATCATAAATCAGCTGATTTTTAGTGAGTTTGAATGAGTTTCGACGAGTTCGAGTGACTATTTCCGATTCTTTGTGATTTTGAATAATTCCCGCTTATGTCCGGCGACTTTTCATTTCGTCAAACTCACCCTAACTCTGCCAAATGCATAAATCGCTGTTCCCCCTGTTAGAAATTATTTCGAATTCAGTTCATAAAATCTTTTTTAATCTCTGTTTGCCACCGAAGGCGGCGAGGCATGTGACCATTGTTAATCAAATTTTATTATAATCAGAATCGATAGTCCACTATTAAGCTAGTTCGAAATCTTTAGGATATCCGAGATTCAAGTCACAAAGTCAGCTGTGCTTTCGAGTGAAAATTTTTTTCAACCTTTTTGCCTTTTTTGATCATCAATGAAAGCAATTAAGTTGCACTTCACTCTTTGAGAATTTAAGTAAACAGTAGAGAACTGTGTCGTCAAAAAAATTCAAATTTTCTGAAGAATTCTCAATTTGACGCATGTAATGATCAACTTTCAATAATTTCTTTACTACCTCAATGAAAAGATAGTTGTATTAGTTGAAATAGTTACAAACTGAAGAAAATTATAATCAAACTCTTTCGAGGTTAGCTAGAAGGGTTACAAGCTCTTACAACTGCGAGAAGGAGGAACTCTAATCGTTCATCAAAAACAAGAGACATGGGAAGTCAAAATCTCTAAGATACAGAAAAATGAATTTACTATGATTTTCAAAAAAAAAAAAGACAATGTATCAAGACTGTTCACGAAACTAAAAGGTAGTTCAACACATACTGTCTTCAAATTCGAAAATTCGAAAATTCGAAAGTTGCAACTGAACAGTGTTAAATTTGGAGAAAGTTAGGATTAATTTCTTTCAAATTGGGGGAACACAAGCGTTAAATTATGCACAATTAGAAGAAAATCGTAACCAAAACTTCTCAAAGTACGAGGATGCCTCTTCTCAGCCGCTCGTGTTGCTCCCGGCTATAACATATATTTTATGCAGGCCTCGCAGCATGTGTACTTTCCTGATTTTTTCCTGATTTTTTAAAGGTGTCCTGATTTTCCTGCTTTTTACTGAAAAACCTGCTTTTGTCCTGATTTTTCAAGATTTATCTCTGTAGGACCACATATACGTCATTTTGATGTTTTATTTTGTTATACTCAACGTTTCTTAAAAATTTTATGAAAATATTTATTGAATATTTTCTATAAAAAGAAAGATGGTACTCAAATTTTTATTTTGTCCATTTTTTTCTTGTAATCACTTTAAGAATCGATTATTTCGAATTAATTAGTTTTTGAAAGCAGCTATTTTATCATTAGTAATTATCACCAGTACTTCGGCGGTATTTACATCATACAGTTCACGACCGTGCGTAGCTGCATTAAATCTTGTATTCCCTTATTGTAACATTTTAGTCGATTTACTAAAGTTTTCTTGTAAACGCTTTTATTCGTTTATCTATAACATGGTGGTTTTATATGTGCGAAGAGCAGGGATATGAAGAAGAGGAAAAGTAGCAGAGAAGGGAAGAAAGTGTGATGCAGGGGAATGGTTTGAGTGTCGAAAAGATGGTTATAGAACCTTAAACACTGCGAAAATGCGGATTTTTCTTATTTCTTTTTACGGCTATTTTTCTGATAAAAATGCGATTTCGACTAGAAATAAATAAGACTCCAATAGTGAAGGATGCTCCCTTCTGTAGGCCACGTATCTGAGAAAAAGAAAACGTATACACAATGCATAATTAGAGACAGCGAACGAAAAGGAAAAAAGCAGAACTCGAAGCACGTATTCGGAGAAATATAATATAGTAATTTCAATGAACTATCATTGATTGACATACTTTTGTGCAGCTTTCATCCTGAACAATAGCACTATGATAAGACTTAAAATGTCCTGATTTTAATCGAAATTCCTGATTTTTTTCTAAAATGTGTCCTGCCTATTTTCCTGATTTTCAGACATAGGTAGCTGCGACCCCTGATTTTATGTATTTGTCAACTAAAATTGCAATGTTACGCTATTCACTACGCATGAATTCATCTACGCCAACACTTGTGAACTTCCAGTCGGTGTATTTGGTTAAAAAATACGTAGAAGGAGAAAGATTGCAATATATATACTATACTGGACAAAATTTTTTGAACGATTTTGTTTTATGTATAACTTTTTCATAGAGTTAGCTTTTCAGGAGCGGTTTGCGTTAAAATTGTAGGCAACATCTATATCATAGCCACAGAAAGTATGACCTCTAAATGTTGAGTTATAGTGAAACTGACCATAATAACAGTGTAGAGTAGTTAGATTGTGGTGGACAAAATTTATTGGACGATATTTCAAATTGAGTTACTTTTTTCCACAAATGTTTGAAAAGGACTGAATCTATATCGATGGAAAGAGGTGAAGACGAGCTACATTTTGACTACAAGTAACTTTTAAAATCAACTTTTATATGCAATAATCATGGTCATTTTGTGAAAAATTTGA